TTTACCTATGCATGGTTGACACTTATAAAAGCAGAGTTCATAAACCATGCAAAGCTGGCACCTTTTATGGAATCCGGATCCTCTTTGTGAAGTTTTCGGAGATCTATAAATCATATCCGTTCATCGTACATCATATGGTTAGAAATTATTTTAAATATTTTTATTTAAAATTAAATACAAACAGGACCTGACAAAAACTGACATTACGATGTACGATGAACAGACACAATTTATGGATCCATAGGATCCTCACCAAAAAAGGATCTGGAGAGGATCTTGTTGACCTTGGGCCCGTGGGTGGGTTTGTCGCCCATTACCACGGCCATTACGACTTTTCGTCGTTTATGGCGGCTAGAATTGGTCGCATGCGCTTCAGGCGGAGCGTTCGAGCCAATGGGTCGAGCTTGATGATTTCTCATCAAAAGCTGGTTTTGTTTTTAGTGAGAAACATACAGAAATCAAATCCAAAATTTTGGTGAACTTTTGTGCCCTATATTGTTATTGCATGACAATATTGGTGACATGGAAGGTTGAATATGTCTTCTCCAGGAGATTTGCATCTGTTAAGCCATCTTTACATAACTTAAACAATGATCAGATTCTACAAACTTTAGAGTTGTATTCATTCACGAACTTAAATTCTTGGAAGCGTAAATGCTACCAGTCTTGCTTCATGCAAGTAAATGTCTTTCTAGTGATTAAAACAATTAACCAGAGGGTGCGTGGATCCTCCTCAGCAAGGTACTCGGTTTGCAGTGCATCATTAATGTGTCTTCGAATGAAGATCATTGCAGTAGCTCTCTCAGTTTCGTCAACGGGGTTGTCATAGGTAGGTTCCTCGATGGTGGCTCTAATACCCTTTGTAGTAAGGTGGAGTTTCACGTCTTGAACCCACTTCAGGTAGTTTCTTCCAGATACTTCCAAAGCGGTTAAATCAAGCTTGTTCAAGTTCAACATGTCCCTAAAATGGAGGGTACAACAAAACGTAGTTAGTCATATGGTAATCCGTAGACATACATCGTAGAACATTCGGGTTCTGTAAACATGTATTGGTTTAATTTAAGCATGAAAGCTACAGGTTTCATGTGGTAAGTTTTGAATGAAACTTTGGGTTTCAAAGGCACTAAATATGAAACTACAAGTTCAATTTACTTTTATGAACGATTAGTTCATAAAGGAAAGGTTCATGCAAGAACACAGAATGCAATATGCTAATTTAAGTGTAGTGGATTTGAGTTGCTTAGGGAACTCAAGTGTGAGAACTTCAGGACTACGAAAGGATGTCAATTGTTCAAAGTAGAAAAATAAATTATTGAATCGTTAATGTTCAAAAGTGATCTTTAGGTCAATAATTTTGGATTAATAATCAGATTAATGAACTGCTAGTCACTTTTAATTAATTCAATAGATCGGGACCAAACGGGATTGATCGTGGAAATAAAATAATGACAAATGGGTCATATTAGCTTCGGTTAGTGATAGGCCAAGGGATAATTAAATTAGAATTAATTGGCGTAACCCAAAGTACCCCAAATAATATTTGGGTATGACTTATAACACGGGGAATGCCAAAAATTGGCATTGGGTTGAAAAAGAGAACGCGGCCTAGCCAAAAAAAAAAAAAAGGCTGACGACGTTGCGGGGATAGGCCCTGCAGCATGGTTGCAAGCTAGTGGTCCTCAAGGAGGGTTGCAGGCCTCTGGGCTATGTGGTATGGGTAAGTCCAACAGCAAGTTCTGCTGTTTTGGGCCAAAAACAGGGCACGAGTGTAGGCCCATCCTGTGTTGGGCTGCAGGTTGGTGTGGGGAAGCCCAACCGAGGCTGGGGTCTACGTTTTTGGGTCGTGAAGCCTAGCAGCATAAGCTTCTGTCGAGTTGGGCCAAAGTTGGGGTGAAGCTTAGCAAGCAACAAGCTGCTGTAAGCAGGCCTGAGCATGGGACAAGAAAGGCCCAGCAGCTCTAAGTTGCTGGAGTTAGGCCAGGGACGCGTGAGATAAGACCAAGAAAGCATTCAGGCCTTCTCGGTTTAGGCTGGGGGCTTCAGGCTGGTAATTACCCTATCAGGCCTAGGGCCTGGGTTGTTTGGCGTGAGCAGCAAAGCCCAAAAAGCTGTTGTCATGTGGTCTAAGGCTTCAAACGACGTCGTTCCCATGTGTGCTCCACGAGGATGGAATGCAGGCCAGCTGCAGTGGTTGGCGATGGTGCCTAGCGGCGACAAGCAACAGCCATGCTACATATTTCCCAGATTTTTCTTTTTTCAACTTTTCTAGGGTTTTAAGAACCCTAAATTGCTTCTAATTTATTTATATGCTTTGACTCACAAATTCCACATAGCAAAAAAATAATTGCATAATGCATGAAAAGTGTACACACACACACACACACACACACACACACATACATACTAGCCTTCATGCATGCACTCGCACGAGTGCAGAAGTCATTTTTTGGATCACGGCGTGCTACGCACGACTTACACGTTTTAAATGTATTTATATGCATAAATTGACAAAAGAAAGTCAAATATTTGAAGTAAATGAATAATCTTGGATCATGCTAGAAGAAACCCCTCATAAACTAATTAAAGCAACTGAATTTACATTATAAAATCAGTCTTATAGAATTTACGTTAAGAATAGAGAAAATAATGTTTAATAAGCAATTGATGGAATCATATTATTTCTTGCCCATTGTGAGGCTAAGCCCACCACTTCCTCCTTAGTATAGATGATATCATTTGTTAAAAAAAAAAAAAAAAAACGAAAAACAAAAAACAATCATTTGATAACTAATTTAATCACAGAAAATAATATTTAATAAACAACTTATTGAATCACATTATTACTAGCCCATTGCAAGGCTAAGCACACTCCCCTCTCCCTTAGTGTAGATAATATCCTTTGTTAAAAATAAAAAAAAATCATTTGACAACTAATATAATCATATTATTATCCGCGTTTGAAGTACTTTTTTTATAATTGGCATTACACACCTCTTAAGATGTTTTAAACATGTTTAAAAATAGAGAAATTGAATCACATTATTGCTAGTCTATTTTGATGTGCTAATTTTTATTTTTTTAATACAAAAAATTTAATTATTAAAAAACCACTATTAAAATGATGAAAGTGCCTCTGCCTTATTTGATGCATTATTTTGGGATGCCTTTGAAGTTTTTTGTCTTCGGGGCATTTTTGTCCAAATATTTTTATTGAAGCTTGGTGACACCAAAAGCATGAATCACCTTTGTAACAATCATTTGACAACTAATTTAATCATATTATTATCCGTCTGTGAAATACCTTTTTTTATAACTAGCATTACACGCCTCTTAAAATGCTTTGAACGTGTTTAAAAATAGAGAAATTGAATCACATTATTGCTAGCCTATTGTGTTCTAAAAGACGTTAAGCGCTAGTCAGGAGGCGAGCTGGGGCCTAGAGCTTGCCTGACTTGCGCCTAGGCAGCTAGGCGAGGCCTAGGCGGACTAGGTGAATTTAAGTAAATTTATTATATTTCGCGTAAATAAGTGTATGTTTATACTTAAAATATATATAAACTACAAAATAGAATGACATATATATTATGAAGTATTGGAACATAATGAAAATATGGGGAACAAACATATAATGTGTGTTCATTTAAGTATTCAACAAATCTCTTACAATTTATTGAAAAAAATAATATGCAAAATGAAATTTATCTATTTTCTGTCTATGTAAGTCACAACCTAGGCAGATCTGCGCGGGCTAGACGGGTGCCTAGGCAGTCTAAGTTGGTGCCTCAGCAGGTCTAGGCGTCCCTTCTTAATTTTCAAACGCCTAGACATTAATCGGGGCGATGATAAGCCACCTAGCGCCTAGACGGGGCCTAGGGAAGGATTTTTAGAACAATGATTATGAGGTACTAAATTTTGTAGACGTTTCAAATATCTTACTTTATGGGGAGTGTTTTCATGCTTCGTAGTCGTTTCAAATATTTTACTTTATTTAAAGCGTACTTGATTAACAGAAAACAAATAAAAGCCTTTGAATTTTGTAGAAAAAAACCTTCGCCTATGATCCTTCAGTTCCTTAGCTTGTGGCAAAAGTGTGCTGATAAGGTTTGTAGGCCTATTTGAGTGAACTGTATTTAGGACTAGTGAAGGAGAGGGCTGGTGACAATTGAGAGATGAGAGATGAGAGATTTAATTGTGAGGTGTGGGTTATATCACATGATTGTGCCTTTATTTATAGTAGTAGGATATGTTAAATCCTTACTCTTATAGAATTACAACTCTAATAGAATAATAACTACTAAAATGAATATTCAAAGATGTCCCTAGATACACTAGGATTTACACAATCACATTCCTATTCTAAATATAACTGCAACAAATAATATAATATAATTGAATTTTAAGGGCAAGTTACTAAATAACACACTATGCGTTTTTCATGTTCCACACCTTTAAATTTTTTTAAACAAACCATACCCTTAAGTTAACTCCATTTTAACCCCCACCATATGCATCACATGTGTCACTCCCCTATTTCGTATTAAATAAACCTGTCTCCTAGTTCATGTTGAATAAACTTGCCATAACAAATGTCTCTCATGTTTGATTCATATAAATTATAGTGATAACATACTGAATTTTCGTGGTTAGTTTCAATATAATGACGTACCTTTGTTATAACATTATTAATACATTGTAAAAGACAATTATAACATTACGTAATAATGTAACATTAAAGCATGCGTAAACATACCAACTGTTAAATTCCATCGAACTGGAGTTTCCTTAACTCAAAATAAAAAAATAAAAATTCACCAAAAAAATGAAAAACCCAATCAAAAAAATCACACGCATCACATTCATTTACAAAACTACCCTTATAAAGCAACCTACCGACCTCATTCGCTGTAGGGAGGATCCGGGATATAGTAGTCATTTGAACTTGATCGGAAGAGTTGTGGTCCCTATGCTATAGCCTATCAAAGGGTAAGAGTTGTGACTGCGGGGACTGACTCAACAAATAACGACTTTGAAAAACACCGTTTTAACTGGGAAACCGCTGGATACGACGTCGTAGGTCGGCTTCTCTCGGCTGCGATTCGTAAAATCTCAAGCAGCAATTGTCATTGGACGTGCGATCGCGGTCTCCTGTTTATCCCCAATCGCCGATCTCCTCAGGTTTGCCCCAAATTTTGGCCCCTTCTGATTCCGATCTGTGTTCTTCAATTATGCTGTTTATTTTTCTTTTTCTTTTTAGTTTGTAATTTTCGATTTTTCGAATTTTAAACGCATAATTTTTTGTTTGATTTAATTTGAAGGTTTGAAGTTTTGGCAGTTGAAATTAGGGTTAGGTTCGTTGTTCGTGTAATTTGACTAATAGAGGGTGAAATTGCAATTGAAGTTGGCGAATTTTTTTTGGGATTTTTGTTTAAACCCTAAATTGGAAATTAATCTTGAAATGAATTAACAGACTTGTTTATTTAACTGATTCAGTAATTTTTAATGTGTGTTTCTTTCTGGGAATTGTTCTAATTTAATACATTGTTAGTTTAATATGTAGTGTTTGATTATTTTACAAGAATCTAACTATTTGTGTTACTTTCTTTTATTTTATCAGAGGACTGGTACTAATTATTTGGAACCAAAGGAGCTAAGTACTGAATAGTGCTTTATTTATTACGTTTTCCGTGAGATGGCAGAGAAATCATGTATCAAGCGCCTCCAGAAAGAATATAGAGCACTCTGCAAAGTACAACTTCTTTTGTTCATCTGAACTTGTTTTCAGCTTTCATTTGTATTCTGTTCATTGCACTCAATTTATCTTCTGTTCTCTTTCATATGTTCTTTGTGGTTTTATCTAGCTTTTTTTGACCGGGGTATAAATTTTGATGTTTCACTGCAATGTCAGTATATGGTTAGTTTCTGGATCTTATTGTGTTAAGGGTTTTGGCCTCTCTCCATGTTTTGTTGCATTATTGAACAGATTGATTAATGTTGTTTTTCTTGCTAAATTTGATAACTGTAACAAATATACGTGCATTAGTTAAAGAAATGATGTCTCCTTTTTGCTATCTTGGAACTTTATTATTTTACTCTGGTTGCTGTTAAAAGTTTTATTTTCGGATGTGTAGGAACCAGTTTCTCATATCGTGGCTCGTCCTCACCCAAATGATATTCTTGAATGGCGTAAGTTTATTTACACAGTTTTCATACTTTTGGGTATTTTATCTTTTTATTGGTTATGTCAAGTTCATGAGTGACTACCGCCATGAGAGGTTAATGTGCCACCATACTCATAGTCGTGTTGTAATTTCCGGAAGTGCAGAATGCTAAGTGAAACATGGAAAGCCTGTTTGCTGTCTAATTAACTCCTTTCCATAATCCTTTGCGTCTATAGTATTTCTACCTGCATTGGTAGGGTATCTATATGATAGTGTAACTTGTTTCTTTTTAGTTCAGGATTTTAATGCTTATTGCTTATTTTTTATGCTTCAGACTACGTTTTGGAGGGAAGTGAAGGAACACCTTTTGCAGGTTTGTCTTAAACTCCCCACTGCCATTGTATTTTGATATGTTGTTTTGGGTTCTTAGCATAAATAATTTATGATATCAATGCTTGCGCATTTTTTGAATTTTCTCTACTCATTGTAGGTGGATATTACTATGGAAAGATCAAGTTTCCTCCAGAGTACCCATTTAAACCGCCAGGAATCAGGTATCTACTTTTTGAATGCCAAACTTCTCCAGAAATGTTATTTGTGAATATTTATGACATATTTCGTCCTGTTTACCTTATAAGTTTATATTGTTGATTCTAATTGCGTCTTACGCTTTCCTTGCTGTCTGCAGCATGACTACCCCAAATGGAAGATTCATGACTCAAAAGAAAATTTGTTTATCTATGAGTGATTGTAAGTTTTGTGTGGTTCTTTTAGAAGAGAATATTTTTTATGTATTTTAAGTAATGGACTTCATCTGGTACGTTTGCAGTTCATCCTGAAAGTTGGAATCCAATGTGGTCCGTGTCAAGGTTAGACACATCTGGGTTTATTAGAAACTTGTTTTGTTATGTTACATGTTTTTGTACGCTTTCTCTTTGTTAGCAATTCGCAATTACATATATAATACTTGTGGTAAGTTGTAATTTCACTAACATCCATTCTTCAAATATGCAGCATACTCACGGGGCTTCTTTCATTTATGGTGAGTCCCTTATGGCTCTTTGACATGCTAATTTATTTTTCGCCTTGTTGTTGTTGTTGTTGTTCCTTTTCGTTTGTATTTTTTTAGGCCTATCGGGAACTTTTTTTTTTTTAATGTGCCATCAGATTCTCCTAATGAATAAGTTGCTTAATGAAACTACTAACTTATTGATACTATCCTAGTAGAATCTTAACTTGTTTGGAAGTACAGGTAGCCGTATCTTTAGTAAAATGAAATGTGCTAATTTATGGCCCTCCTGCTGTATTCAGTAGTTCAAGCAAATCATTTTATGTTGAACATGGTTTATTTAATTATTTTAAAATCCAATTTTCTTAGACTTAATAGTTACTTTGGTTGGAAATGTCACATCATTTTGTTATTTTTAAAGCATCTAATGCTTCGATATATCCTTTTTCACGCAGATGGACACCAGTCCTACTACTGGCAGTGTGAACACTACTGTTGCTGAGAAGAAACGTCTGGCAAAAGCTTCTCTTGCATTTAACTCTAAGAAGTAAGTTAACTGGATCAGCTACAGCTTGTTTTATAGTCTCTATTTTCAGATTATTTAAGCCACACTGAGGGCTAAAGTAAAATAACGTTCGAATATGTTTGTGGTTGAGTGGCCCATGCCTGTTTTATGTCCATCTGCATTTGCATTGGTTAATACCACTTGCCAATTGTGTTGTTTGTACTTCTGTTCAAAATTTGCTTGAATTAGGTGAGTTCAGAATACTAGGTGTCAAATCAGTTTGCTCAGACAACTATTGTTTGTGTAGAATGTATATATCGTCCCTAGTAGACCACATCAGATTTTTTTTTTCTTAGTAAAGAACATTGTTCAGAACCATCAAGGGTGTCGCTGATCACAGAACCCTTGTGTTTCACCCCCCTTGCATCTGATTCTCTTTCAATCTTCAGTGTACTGTCTGACAATTTTCTGTTGAAACAGTGTAACATTCCAGAAAATCTTTCCCGAGTATGTGGAGAAGTATAACCAGCAGCAGCAGCAGCTTACTACAGAGCAGGTGTCGTCTGATCCATCTCAAGAAAATTCGAGGCCCTTGTTGAAGAAGGTTGATGATTCAACAGGAGGTATGAAAAGAGTGGATGCCTTAAAGGAGGCGGGGAATAAGAAAAGGCAGTCAGTCCCAACCTGGATGATGGTTTTGCTGATTTCGGTCTTTGGCGTTGTAATGGCGCTGCCGCTACTTCAACTTTAATATCTTACGTCCCGAGTAGAAAATTTATTGGGGTACGTGGACATAAAAGCTGTTGCGAGTCAAGGGACTTGTTTAAAATACTCGTTTTAGGGTTTTGTCTCTGTATCTAATATAATTTTGTATAGGAGGTTGAAACTTAAGGTCAGTTGAATCTGTTGGCTGATGTTTTTCCTTCTATGTCAATGTTTGGTCCTTGTTTGCCTGCCTGTGTTCAAACATGACATGATTGTGATGTTATTTCAACTTCTGTCGAGTGGAGTTTCGGTTCGGTCTTTTGGTTGCTACTCTCATTCATGCGCACTCACACAAGTTTTTAGCCCTAAATGTCCTCAACATATTAAAGAGAAGATGATGGCAATGATGAATATTAAATATCAACAGGGGTTTGGTAAGTATTTAGGCCTAAAGGCAGACTTTGGTGCATCGAAAAAGTTGGTGTCTCAAGAGGTTCGGAATAGGGTGGAGGATCAGTTTAAGGGGTGGGTTGAGCAATTTTTATTCCAAGCTGGAAAACAAGTCCTTATTAAAAGTGTGGCTTCGGCACTTGCAAACCATGCAAAGTCGTGCTTCAAGCTCCCAGTGAATTTGGCTAAAGAAATTGAGAGCATGATCGCAAGTTTTCTTTTAACCTTGCCATGTTGGCAAAAGAATTCCTGGTGCCCAAATTTTGAAAGCCAAATATTTTCCGAATTCTTCGTTCATGGATGCTCCTAGGGTCGTTGCACATCATGGGGATGGGAAGGGCATTTTCCAATGGCTGAAAATTCTAAGTCGTGTTCGGAAGAGTAATGATATTCATACCATATTTTTATATCACATTTCTATACCACATTAGGTGACATCTGATGTGGACAGTCATATCATTTAAAAACTTTGCAAAACCCAAGGAAAAGAATGAGAAAAACTCTTCGTATACCACAATCATCATTTAATTAACTAGTTTTTCTTAATTATTAGTTCATTAAATAATAAATTAAATTTAAAAATATGATTAATTCAAATGATGTGGCTGTCCATATCAAATATCACCTAAGTGATATGAAAATATGGTACAAAAACATAATATGAATATCATTACTCAGTTGGGAATGGAAAAAGTGTGAGAATTAAACGAGATGCCTGAAAAGGTTGTAGATTTAATTGATACTAATACTGGTACGTGGAGAAGGAGTGTGGTTGAACGTTGCTTTGGCCAGGATGAAGCTTCTCAGATTTTGAGCATGCAGTTAAGAGTTGGTTTGGAATTGCTATGCTTTGAAAAAAACTGTTTCTGCTATGTTGTGAGAATAAGTTCATTTTTGCTGCTTCACGTTTTCAGCTTTTTTTTACCCAAAACTATGAAAATAAGCTGTTTTTAAATATTTGAGCTCAGTTTTTTTTTATATCTACTTTTTATAAAAGCACTTCAATACTAAACCAGTACTAAGTATATTTGGGTCCGAACGGGTATAAGGTTGCACAAGAACTAAGTAACACGAGTATGACATATAGCAGAGAACTTGTTAACTTTGATTTTGCATAAACGTTAAAAAACGTTTGGAGATTTTGATTCAGCCACACAATCAGTCAACTATAATAATTTAATGTTAAATTCGTCATTCACGAGAGTCGAACTTAAAATATTTTACTTAAAAATGAAATGAAAGATCACTATAACTTAATATTAACTTAATTCCCCCGTTTAATGAAAGATGTTATAAATAATCAATTGAAGTACAAACGCCACCTCATAAAAGAAGGAGGAAGAAAAATTTTGTAGGGCACTGCATCAATGGCTTTGAAGCATCATTAAAAATATGATAAACCGTCATCTGACATGTTAATCTAGCGGACACTGCATCAGGTTTTTCACATCTTTGGGTGAAACGATCTAAAACTACGGATGCTCACTCTACTCTATTTGCAAGAATAATTGATATATAGTAAGTTCGATGCTAAGTTGAAAAAAATCCCTAATTTCTTAATTGTTTTTGTTTCGCTGTGGGCTAGCAAAACGAAGCTCCCCTTGCTTGCACGCCAAGTTGCACGCTTACCTTTTCCTCCTAAACGTTTGCACCAAATAAATCCAGACATTCACAACCACCCCCACAAACCAAAGCCCACCACCCCCTCTTCTCTCTCGCTCGCTTCTCTCTCTCGCGGGGGGCCCGGAAACCTGCTACGCGTTTGTCGGCATTGTGCGTGAATCATGACTCAGTCCCCATGACAAAAAGGTACGGTTCATTATTTTTATAGGTAGTGTTACTACTTTAATTTAAACAATTAAAACGAAAACGAGTGAGTTTGAAATCAGGACACTGTTAGTTGCAGCGGAAGGCGAAAACCAAACCAGGGCTATACACCACTTGCGGGGTTGAGGGTTGATTAATTAATTACACGATATATTATGAAGAATAAATTTTAAATTAAATTTATAAATTAAATGATGCAATAATAATGGGAAGCAAGCACATTAATCAATGGTTAATAATAATCTAATCATTAACAACATTATCATTGAGTACAAATTTAGTTTCAATGACATCATTCTTAAATATATGATGACATGAGACCATTAGAAGCACTGTAATGAATCACATGATGGTGATTAGAGGACTGTCGTGGTAAAACCACCGATTGATCTTTTTTTTTCAAAAAAAAAATAGAGGGTCATTAAATAGTGGTTAACACTAATTAGGGTTTGCCAGCTGAAACTTTGCCTTTAAAGTGATTATCCGTTCGATACGTTTTGACTTATCAAGTGAGCCGTTTTAAGCATCTTTTGATCAATGCTTTCTGTGGTGCCTTCTCAAGTCTGAACACTGCCATTTCAACCACCATTTCAGAAGTTAAAAATTTTCTGGGTTTTTTTAAAGCAGAATATTTTGATGTGGGTTTTCCTGTAAAAGGGTGGTTGGATTTTGCCTTTTTTGATCAATGTTTGTTAGTAGAAATGGACCACTTCAATGTAGTTTCATAGCTTTCTGCTTGATTGATTGCTCTTCTTCAACTGAAGGGTAGCAAAAGAGTTGAGAATTTCGTTTCATTTTCTTATCTTTATAAATCTTTTTTTTTTTTTTTTTTTCTAAGCAAAGCGATATTCGCAGAAGAGGAATTTCAACCCAAGACCTCGGCTGCAGGAGTAAACGCTTTCTAACTATCTTTTTATTTTTCATTTTAGTTAGACAAGTATGAAGAAATCTCCTATGCATCCAAAATATGCGATGGATCGTGATCACAGCAATGGATTCGATCCTCATACCGACTTTTATCAGGTTAGGTTATTAACTGGTTAGCATTGAACGTTGAGTCTCGTAATATTGATATTTTGGGCATTCACCTTTTAAGGACATAAATTTAAAAAGCTACTGTCGTTTTAGCCATTGTAGTGTACAGGGTTTGATTTGAAATCTAAAGCGTGTCACTTTCTTGCTGGAGAACAGTTTTGTATTCAATGTAAAAAATATTCTATTTACTAATTTCATCTGGTTTTAATTAATTCTTATTCGATCAGTTTTTGGAAGAAGCCAAGCACTATGTAGTAGAAGGAGACTTCCAGGCACCATCAGAAGAAGGTGCAGAGAGAAGACTGGGACAAGAGAAGAAGAAGAAGAAGAAGAAATCATGGAAAAAGTTTCTGTTTCCGTGGTTGAAAGGAGAGAAACTGAACAAAACTACTACAAAACCAGCAACCGTATCTCATATTTCTAATGCGAAGCGGACTAATGTTTCCGGTCCAGTGTATGGCACCGGCAAGGCTACGGATGGCAAGCACCGGGGTCCAATGTCGGGGCCTATTGCCAGTCTCTTCAACCCCACAAAGAGAGAAGACAATGCAATGCCTTATGTGTGCCTTGACAAGAATGGCAGCCCTCAAGTTGGAAAAACTTATGGGCCAGTTTATTTGGTGTACATAAATTTTCATGAAGAAGTTGGGGAATAGAAAATTGAAATTGTTAACCTTTCTGCTCCATGAAGGATTTGAACTTATGGATTCTGCATTGGCTGTGATGGAAATGCAGTTGGATCATCAAATGGAAGAAAACCGGGAATTCAAGCCGTCTTGGTTGCTTTGAATCATCCAAGGCATGGAAAAAGCTGCTCAGAGATTGTTCTTTAGATGTAATGTTATAGTGTTTCATTTGTGAGAACGCTGTAAAATAGGACTTGGAATACTTAACAACCAAGTCGATTTAACCTTCTATATATGCATTCCTTTTCTTAGCCTTTGTAAGTGATCAAAGGAAGCAATTAAGAAGTGACGTTTGATGATTTATGCTCTCGCACCTTGTGCTTATCTCTCGCCTCATGTCATGTGTCAGTCGAAGTCAGGGGAGAGATAGGCACGAGGGGATACACACCCGTTTGCACGTAAGTTTGTATCACTCTGGAAAGCGTCTGTAGTGTTATATTTCATTCAATCTTCAACTGCATCCTCATTATTTATGTATTCTTCATGCTCAGCAGTTAAAAGTGAAATATTTTTTGCAGGAAAGCCAAATCATAGTTTCCTTTTTTTTTTATTTTTAAAGTTAACTTTGGGAGGGAAACTATGTACTTGCCCAACAGAGCTTCATGTACAATAATCTGCTTCTGCTAAAGGACATAAAGTGTCTGAGGTTATTCAACTTGCCTTCATGTGATAGAGGAATGGTATGGCAAATGAGGGCTTTTAATACATCTGAAATGATGCTTACTTCATACGTGTGCACCTGTTAATTTGTTAAGACACAAAGAGCCTCGTCATCCCAAAAACGGGGGAGAAATGGTATGTCATTGAGGCTCGGTTGTATATCTACAACGTGATGAGAGAAATAGACACAAAGGAATATCACATGATTAGAGAGAGAAAAACAAAAAGATACATGAGCGTTTACAATGCCGATTCTCTCCAGAACGCAAGAAAATATGTAACCGGTTACAAGAAAGATTATTTCCGAACACGTATCCCTCTTGTACTTTACAAGAAGGAACCATTTAGGATGATTTGCAGGTACAACTTGCATCACACAACCTAAGGTCCTAAACTACACATGGATCACAAGCCATTCTAGCATTTGTTTGGTCTCAAAAACTGAAAGCATAATAACAACACAAAATGTTGTTTAATGATTACAGAAGCCTTAGAAGTGGTTAGAAAAGGCAGTTAAAACACATAACAAGAGGGATGATATTGGATTCTCACTAATCTGGAAAATTTTATGGAATTAAAAGAGAAACTTCCTCTCAGGAATAAGACACTCTTCTACACCTCCAGAACACCGTGTGAGAGAGTTAAAACACATGACATTGTTATTAGTGGTTCAAAACGCCACCTTGTTAGCCCCGGGTGTAGGTGAGTCCTGTCCCTCAGGAACATCCAAACAATAGAAAGTTAAGAACTTCAATTGCTATTTCATTTCCTTTCTTCTTCATAGAATCATAGGTTAAAAAAAACAAAGTGTTTTAAGGCATAATTAAGAAAATTGAGCCTACATTATTTTGTTTTTAAAGTAACTAAGCGGTACATATATTTTACAACTTTTTTGAGATTTCAAGATCCACCTCTTCAAGAATAAAAGAACAATTACCAATTAAAACCCCATAGAAATTCCTATGTATAAAAATTCCTATGTCTTCATCTCCATAAGAACCCTAAACCAAAATTCTCAGGGATGCAAAAGATTGCACATCTAAGACTTTCCTTATCAAATTATGTGCAAACATTAAATCTAGCTTCTTTTCTAACTCTGCCTCCTCCTCTCCCTCCTCCTTGTTCAACGTCCACAGAACAAGGACTGCAGGGACTAATCCTCCTACCTGCTCAACAGCCTCTTCAGTGATCTCAACCGCGTCGGCACCGGTGACTTCAAGTCCTCTCCGGCGAAACTGTTACTTGAAGGCGAAGGCGAAGGCAAAGCAGATGGTGTCTCGCTTGGTATATCAATGACCAACATCCCATCCGGCCTATTACTTGCAGATGACAAAGATGATGGAGATGGGCTGGGTTGTGAAGAAGGGCCTTCTTCCTCCAAATCCGAACCCGGTCCGGAGCTCACCCGGCTCTGGTTCCCCCAGAACAACACATTTGTTGGGAAAATCGGAGCCTCAATCGAAAACCCAGATGCCAAATTCTCAGCTGGTGATTGAATTTCAACACCACCAGCACTCCCTTCCAATGCAGAAGAACTAGAACCGACAGAGCTCTGAGGAGCAACAGGGTTTCTACAGAGTGGACACGTGGAGTGAGACTGAAACCACATGTCGATACAATCGACATGGAATCCATGGCTGCATTTCGGGAGCAGCCTTGCTTTCTCGCCGTGGACGAGCTCGGAGAGACAAACCGCGCATTCGAGACCGTCTTTGAAGTCATCGGAAGGAAACACTACTAATGGTAAGGACCTGAGGACTAAAGGGTCGAGCCCTTTCCGCACTGCGGCAACTGGATCCTGCCCGGGAGCGAAAACGAAGCGGCGGCGACGGCGTCGGGACTGGCCGCGAACTGACGAGGTGAGGTCGTCGTCTGCCGGCCACAAGTACCATTTGGCGTAGAGGTGGAGGCAGAGGACGAAGACGACTACCAGAAAGAGAACCAACACGGCGATCATCATGATTTTTCCGGTGAGTTCTACGGCATTCGAGTCGTCGAGTGTTCGACGCAAAGTGGAGTCTCCCATTGTTTCTGTTTGAACCTAAAGGTGAGAGCTTTACTTGAAAATTGAAAAAATTGAAGAAGGGTAGTGAGATTCTAAAGAAATGAGGAGAACCCAGATGAGAAATATTTGTGTTTTGCTTGGAATTCAATTTTCTATGAATCAGGGGCTTAAATATGTGAGGGGGGAGAAAGAGAGAGAGAGAGAGAGAGAGAGAGAGAGACAGTTGAAGAGGCAAAATGGGAAAGGAGGTTGGACTTGTTCTACGGGAGGACTAGGAAGGATGAAGTATCTTTGTTCTGAAACTCGCGAAAGCGACGTAGGTGGAGAGAGAGAGAGAGAGAGACAGAGAGAGTTGCATTTGTAATTTACACCTCTACTTTTCAGGTTTCAGGATGACTCAGAAGACTTGACTTTTTAGTGGGGAAGACTGGACGGTGAGAAAATATGGAAGACGACTGCAACCTATCCATTGGGTCCAAATACGAGAACAGACGGTAGAAAGAAAGGGAGAAGGATGCTCGCCGGATCTTGGGATCTTAGGAATCTCTTAATCATGATCGTACGTCGAGCAGTTAAAAATTATTACAAAATTTAAAATTTAAAATTAAATATAAATAGCACTTAATAAAAAATGATCTCACAATGTACAATAAATAATCATAATTACGGAATTACTAAGATCTCTAAAAAAAAAGATCTGACGAGGATCATTTTCCAAAAGAAAGGACCAACTTCGAACCCCACCTCTCAACTCAATGTCCATTTCTCAGTGCTTTCCACCTCTCTGACGCCATTTCTGGCACTTTCTCACTTTGAGACTTCATTTTTCCGGAGAAGGATTTTTACCCGTTCTATTACCCATCTTCTTTCATTTCCTCCTCTTACATTCTTCTTTTCATTTTTTTTGTCTATATAAAAAATTTAAAATAAGATATAGACGTAGCGTAATCGTAACTGTTTAAATAGGAGTCGATGAAAGGGGAGAGAGATTAAAAAATGAGAGAATCCTACTCCCATTGTTTCACTTTCAAGTTAAAATAAGGAGAACTTTAACGAAAAGCTTTCGATATTGTTCACTTTAACGAAAAATCACATTTTTACACTAAAATATCAATTCTAATACTATTCACTTTACCCTTTATTTTGTCTTTAACGTTTAAAACTTAAAGTTTTCAAACTATTTTCATTAGTTTTCTTTAAAATAAACCCTTGTAGACTTGTACTGACAAAGAACTTTCATGCGACGAGGATATCGTCACAATATGTGAGTTTCTTCTTTAATCAGTATTAGGAAACTTGGTTGTGACATCACATCTATCATGTTTTTTAGCATAAATAAATTAAAATGGCGTCAGATTTGCAACTGGGGATTTATTTTTCATTCACAACAAGTATTAACTTTTCATGTCATACTAAGGTCATTTCTAACCGAAAGGTCCAGAGGGCCGAAAATAGTTCGATAACCGTCTCCAAACAAGGGTCAGGCCAAAGGGCTCGTGGGCCCCATTGGATAAAAAAGAGCCAAATGACCAACCGGCTGGCCCAAATGAATCAGCCTGCTAGCTAGGGCTAGGCCACAAAATTTAAATACAACGGCTAGCTGACATCAATTACCGTTGGATTTGAATTTTTTTTTTTTTTGGGCCAAATTTTTTTTTGAAAAATTCTCATTTTTTCCTATAAATATCTAAGTCATTCTTACACCATTTTGTCACATAATTTTCACCATTCCTATACCATTTCAATTCTCATATTTTCTTACCTCTTCCAATAATCTTTACTTCAAATTTTTCAATAATTTTTAAATGCCCTCATCTGCAATGAAAGGTAGGGCTTGGACCTGAAAAGAAGATGAACCTCTTTGCAGGGCTTATAGATGGGTCTTGGAAGATAGTGTGAGGGGGAGTTCTCAAACAAGTGAAGTTGTTTGGACTTGTGTGTCCAAAAAATACTATGAGTTCTACGAAGGCACCACTCCACTGAATACCCGAAACCACGAAAGTTGTTCTTCAAGATGGAAGAAACATCTTCATCCAAGTTTGAATAAATGGCATCAAGCACTGTTAGCAGCCACAAGTAGACATGAAAGTGGCGCCAATTACTACGGCAAAGTAAGTGTTTTCACAATTTATTTTAAATATTTAATTATATTACATTTAATTTCATAAATAATTTCCTTTAATTTTTGTAATTATATGTAATTGTATTATATTTAAGTTCATAAATTAATTTTCTTTAATTTTTGTAATTATATTTTCTGGGTACGTCAAGTAGAGGAATTGTATATAGATGGCAGCTCCAAACCCTTTCAGTTTCACGGTTGTTGGGAACTTTGTAAAGGGTGGGTGTTATTTGAAGATCCACCTCAACATAGAGTAGCTTCTACGCCGGTGTTCGGAACTCAATCCTCATCTATAGATGGGGATGAAGATGGATCTCCTACCATTCAACAAACAAGGATAGAAAATCCATCTTCGGGTGAAGGTTCCATACCTAGGGCTATGAGACGAAACAAGGCAGGTTGAAGGAAAAGGGCAAGGCAAATGATGATTACGCCGCTCAAAGGGAAGTGGTGGCCTCATTGCAATTAATGGCGAAGCAAAATTGGGCAAAACAAATACAGAAGAGATGGGTGATAGGAATATGCAAAGGAACGCTTAGGATTACAGTCCAATGAGTAAGGCATATTTTGATATAAATATTAAAAATAAAAAAAGAGGAAAATTATGGCCCGGCGACAGTTGTTTACCTCCGACTATACTCCTACAATGGCGGATGATGAAGATGATGTTGATTATGGACTTTAAATTTAAGTTGTTTTTTTTTTTTTTTTTTTTTAGTTGTAGTTTTTAAATTTAATTTGTTGTAGTTTTTAAATTTAAGTTGTTGTAATTTTAAATTTAAGTTGTTGTAGTTTTTAAATTTAAATAATAAATTATGTTTGACCGTCATTTGACCATCGGTTGGAGAGCACTAATAATTAACTTGACCGCTTAAGCTTAGGTTTGTAGATTTTGAATTTGATGAAGAACATTTGAGAAGCAAAATAGGTCTGGTCAATGCTGCAACAGTGGCTAAGTTGGTGGTTAGTGTAAATTTTACGTCCAAAGCTGTGCTTTTTCAACCACTTTGGTGGATTATGTTTGTCTGTTCAGCACCTTCTCTATGGAATGAAGAACTTGGTTCGACATTATTGAGTAGCAAGAGAGAAGAAATTACAATACGAAGGGACTTCTAGGTGTCAATATCCAAACATCTTATAGATCGTCAAATGAAAAAGTTAACTTACATAACATTACGTAAATTGGTTCGAAACAATAGTATAACGCGTCCTACAGTAGTGTATATAATACACCACATCAACAGTGCATCTTTACTTCAAATGTCAACATGTCTATTTTTCGAATTGTTAGATTATTGGGAAAAGTACTGGTGTGGGGTCTGCCCCAGCATTATCACATGATTTATTCATATGTTCTGTTTCTAAGCAATGTTTTAAGTCTTAACGCAAATCTCAAAGCAACTAATTACACCTAAACCCTAATCTCTAATCCGGAAAGTTAGCTCAATACCAGCTGCTTTTGATGTCGGAGTCAAATGTTTTACAACTTTTTGTTCCTCTTATTTTCTCTTTCGTCCTTGGTAATGCTTTTGTTTAAGATGAATAATGAGCGACGATTTCTTTTAACATTAGAAAGAGAAATATCATTAAATATAAAAAAACTAATTAGTCATCCTAATTGGTGTTTAGGTACGAGATAAAAGAGCAAACTCGCATCATTCGTGGGTAAGTTGCACGATGCAGTTGAGTTGTCATGGCTGTGGGCATACTATGTGCTTAATTTGTTTATAAAAGTTTGTCAATAAATCTCGTACGCGTGCATGTAATAAAGGGATGTGAGCTGCCCAGATAGAATCCCTGCATTGATCTGAACCGTCAATTTTTTTTTTTTCAGTACTCTCTCGTTTTCCTATATAAAATTCCTCTCATTAGTTCTAACAGATTCTTTTTTACTAGATGCGGTGTGAATCATATGGCCGAGCGGCTTTGATTCTCGGTGGTAGTATGATTTAGGATTTTGGTTGTTTTCAGCTATGTGAGCTCAGATACGAGTTATGCAAGATTTTAGTATGGGATACGATACACACAAACACTTATTTGCTCCTCTCATGCACACACCCTTGTTCAACTCTATCGCTTATTTTGTCTAATTTATTTAATCTGATTGCTAGAAATAAGAGAGATATGTATAAGACTAAATAGGGTGTGTGAAATCAACTACTTTTAGTATTTCGGGTTGTTGTTTTTACAATTATGTTGAAATTTGTAGTTTTTAACTACTTGAGAAGCTGAGCTATAATCTTAGCAACAAAAACTCAACAATCTAGCTCCTGTAATTGATCCACTTAAGATAAAATCAATAGATAGCGTGCCAATAGGAATGTAGGGCAGCCATAATTTTAGGCTTTTAATCAGAATTTAGAATATAATTAATAGTGATGATCGCTTGAGCAAGAAATAAATGGGATCGATGGACATAATAATTGAAATGAAATGATTTTTGTTAGTAACTAATGATAGCCATTCATGTCATTCATTGGTGAAAGCAGAAACACACAGAGAGAAATGAGTACCACACTCGTAACTTTGTTCACAAAGTATATGTAACTAAAAAGACTACTCAGGAATATATATGCCTACAAAAGTTCCTGCTGCTGCTGCTTCTACTATCACCGTCATAGGGAGAGGCCAAAGCAGTTTGACACCGGGCCGCAAGGCTTTATTTGATAGCTTGAGGGGTCATAGCTTTAAGGTTTTAGGGCTAATTTGGTATTGATGTGTTTTAAAAAAAAACTACTTCTGTTGTGCTGTAAGAATAAGCAGCTGTGAAATAAAGCAGCAGAGTGTTTGGTAAACCTTTTTGTAAAAGTGTTTTTTGAAAAAGAAAAAAAAAGTAGTATTATAGTGTTTGATAAACTTTTATGTAAAACAGATGTGAAAAAAACTAGTCTTTCAAAGCTAGATTTTGCAACTTTGTGTTTTTGGCTTTTTTTTCACCCAAAATTGTGAAAAAAAGCTGAAGCTAAATATTTACCAAACATAAAAAAGCTCCCAGCTTTTTTTTTCAGAATCACCTCAATGTCAAACTAGGGCTTAGTCATACACATATTACTGAAAAAGTTAAAAAATCTAGAAGGATTTGATAACTGTTTTGTTATTAATTTTTTTGTTAAAATGAAAGAAAAATGAGTAAATCTCAGTTTACTACCTCAAGTTTCATAATTTTCAACATTAGGTACATGAAGATTTTTTCGTC